ACTATTAAATGTAGGTTACATACTGTGTAAGTATTAATAATTATTATAAGACAAGTATTTAGTAGAAAATAAAACCAATAGCTGTTATTGAGTCTTGACTATTAAAATACACTTTAGATCCATATAATATATAACTACCGTAGCTGAGGACCGAAGTAATTATATTCATAGAGTCCTACGATTCTTTCTGGATATATTTTATTTAACTGGCCATTCCCCGGACCACGTTCCACAAACATAAATATTTAATTTGTTAAATTTTAAATATGTAAACTAAGTATTCGTTTTGCAATAAACTCAGCTCCAACATAAAGTTTAGTGAAAAGTTTACATTTCCTACAACATAAATATTAAATTCAAATTGAAAAATTGTTTTAACGAGAGTTTAAGATTATATTTTAAATTCTGAGCGAAGCGATGTACCTATTGATTTTACAACGATGTGCGTTTTTTTGCGTATAAACTAGTTAACAAGTTTTTTCTAATTTCCCAACAATCGCTATCCGACTAGCGATTTAAGCAGAGAAAGTAGGTACCTACGTAGGTAAAATTTCAAAAAACATATTCAAAATATCAATAGTTTTAATAAACATCTAAATATAATATCAGTGTTAATGACAAATGTTAATGCTAAACGGTGAATGTTAATAAGTATAAAACAGAATAACGTCAGTTGCCGTGACTTATTGATAAGAAATGTATTGCGTATTTCTTGAACAAAACTATGTTCAATCAACCTCTGTTATAACCATAGTAATGTTTAAGCGTGGTTTTATTTCCCTCTAAATGTTATCTACCGACACCACGATTATAGTTTTGTAACTTGATGATCTTGTATTTTCGTGCATAAATCGTACGCTGCGTGTCTGTCTAACCTACCGTTCGCACATCTAATGTATTATGCAGGTAACCAAACCGCAATATACGGTGGTCGTTATGGATATCGGTATCAGTATACACTATACAGAGAACGAGCGTTTCCGAGTGCAAATAACTGCGTATATATTATAATCGTAAACACTATACAGGTGTATAATTAAGTTATTCATTTGATGACTTTGCGTATCCGATTCGTTTCAAAGTTTTCAGTACGTACCTATATAAGCCATCTTCGTTATACATTTATATACCCTGTGTATATATGTATACGTATAGAAGGTATTCGAGATTTGTGAAAGGGCTTTCTTTCAAAACGTCATAGATACGACGACTTTCTTGTCATACGAATTTATTATTTTTAATATGCGAGTAGCGTGACTAATGCCGCATATACTTACACCAATTGTAGCCGTATTTTCAGAATATAACACAAGACATTCGAGCAATCAAAAATTAATTTCGCGGTGTTTTAAATGAAATAAACTGTTTAGGTATCAAATGGTTATTACTTTTAAACATTATCTGATTAACGTTTATTATATTTTGATGCATTTAACCGTTAGACCACATTTAAAACGTATAATATTACCTCATATCTATAATAATTATGATAAAAACAGACGATTAAAAACAAATATCAATACATTTAAAAATATTATTATAGCATATTTAGGTATTGGAATTTTGATTTCTTAAAAAACTTTAAGCAAAGAACACACTGTTGTTAACATTTTTGACTGCCTTTGACTTGATACATCATGTACATTTGATAGTATCTCGTATAAAATCAACGTATAAATAAAGATTATATTTTTACCTCTAAGTTCAATAATAGAATAATTCTCTTTAGCTAAATATTAAATCTAAAAATACAAAATTAGAATTAAACGTAAATTTTATAAAGAGATAGCATGTATAATGTATATCCTAAAAAAACTTTTTAATATGTACTTTTTTTTGTGTAATCAAACAGTGTAACTTTTTTATAATTCGTTTTATTTTAATTTAAAATATATAAAATTGTATTATATTCATTTTTTAATTTATAATTACGTAGTAAATAGTAACTACTGCAGACGTGTAAATTAAAATTACAATAGAAATGTTTCATTTACAAATACTCAATATGTATTACACAATACTCATAATTTAAATTTAAATATTAAATAAATGATTCAAAAATTATAATATTTTACTTTTGAATATAATTATTAACTGTATAATATTAAATTGACCCAATATTTAAAAATATTGTATCAATTAAGTTGAAAGACATTATTATTTTCTTTAAATAGGTACGGCTAAATAATTTATGAATAACATGCGACAGATGTCAGATACTACAGTCTAGTTTATATATATAATTTTCAGTTGAAAAATTAAATAATTAATTTAATATTTTAATATTTTCAGTTGTTTTATTAAATTATAATAATTATTTATTAATTATATTGTTAATAAGATATATTTATGATTTTAAGTCATTTTTATCTGTATATTTATAATCTAAAGAATTTATACTTTATAGTATTGGTATTTTCAATTAAAATAAAACGCAAATTTTAAATGTATTGGATAATAAAATTTTTATTATTTTATATGTACAGCCTGATTATCAGTAAACATATTATTAGTATAATATTTTTGCTTTATAAAACATAATTAAAGTGTAAAATATATTACTAAAAAATCATCAAACAAATAATTGGAATATATTTCAATATTTAAAGAAACGTGAATTTTCTGTTTTTAAAATATTTCAAATTGAAAATTTCTAATCAAATATTTTATACTCATAACAGTCATAACCCTAATGTTATAAATTGTTTATAAAATAAGATTACTTTATTCTACGATTATGCATATATATATTTATATATATATATATAATATTAATAAAATTAATATTAAATATAAATGATATTTCGAATTATTATTTTATGATGGGAGAATATGATGAAGACTATGTTAAACGTAAAACGAAGTGATAACATAACTATTTTGATATCTATCACTATACGAATGGTATAGGTAGGTACCTTTATACTTTATAGTAAATAAAATACTTTCACAACTTTATTACAAATGACGCTATTATTATTTTCTGTGATAAAATTAAAAATTTTTACTGCAATGGGAAAATCAAATGTGAAAAAAAAAAACATGACAAAACAAAACAAAAAATTCTTCTTTTGACTAATTTAAAAATATTAGTTTTATTTAGGTTAAAAATATCTTTGTTTTTAATTTTTTTTCTTCGAAATTACTACAAAAATAATGCACCGTATTACCTAAACTGCTGTAATAAGTTTGGAATATTACTATCTTTCTACTTGGAATAGCGTGAACGGACAACTATGGAAAAAAATAACAACGTTTTTACCTTTGATACCTTTTAGCCTTTAATACCCAAATAAATATATATTGGCAATTATTAGTAGGATCGAAATAAGATAAGTCAAAATAGTTTAAAAATGCTTATCATGAATCAAATCAATCGCTTAAAAAATAAAAAATAAATTGTTTAGCTGTTTTTAGTTTACATTTATATCTTTAAGTATATTTTTCATATAAACATTATTTAATATACTTTAATTTAAAGAACTAGCTACTATGGAAAAATGTAATAATAACGATGATGATCGAAAATTTATAATTTGATAAATTTCAATCACCGAAAGGCATCGGAAAAATAACTCTGCCAAGCTTAAGAAAAATTTAAAAATAAAAATGTATTCCTACTTACAGTTTAAACTAAAATAACCGTAAGAATTTCAAATTTGATGAAAAAATAAAACTTATTGATTGTTAAAAATTAATTGATGATATACAAGATTTTCACATAATTTGTTTTTAATTTTTTAATAAAAATTAAAATAAATATCGATATAAGTTCAATTCCACATTTGATACATTTATTTAATATAGTAATATTTACTGTATGTTAAAAATTAATCACCTGCATGCTAAACAAATGTCGTTATATTTGACATATTCATTCCAGAGAATTTACTATTTTAAGTTTTAATCACGATTATACATTATTATATATTTATATAATAAATAAAATTATTTTTTAATAATAATTAATATTATAATGGGATTTAGTTAAAGGATTCATCTCAATTTATATCGGTAGATATTAGGAATATATGAATATTGATTATAGTTCAATATATATTTTAATGAAATTTTGCTATTTTGAGTGGTAATTTCTTACTTATTTCTTGTAAAAATTATCCATATTATCATATATCTATACTTATGTTACTGATCTAAAGCCATTCAGTTTCGGGACTCCACCTATTAATAAGTAATTTGGGAGTCTAAAAAAAAGAATAAAATATTGAACAGTTTTAAAAATATCAATTGAAATCCTAGTGGAGTACCACTCAGGTACGCACTCTGTGTAACATATAAAATCGGTACACAATAAAAAAAAGAAAAAAAAGTATGAACAAGAAAATCCTCCGGGATTAAAACCACTGCCCAGTCGATTATATTAAACGGTGAGAAAGGGGTGGAGAAATTATTTATGGGTAAATTATACACGTGTATAATGTACGCTTACAATGATATTATATTATAATTCTATATTATATGTATAAATTATTCATCGATCTGGATAATTTATGCCCATCCGGACAATTCAAGTGTGCTGTGGCGGCGGTGATCTTTAATATTTGACAAAATAATGGTAACGATAAAGTGAGCGATCTATCATTTTTTAAAGTAAAAATACGCGATCTAAAGTGTTTAAAATTGTATAACGTACTTACCTTATATTTTGTGAACAAAAAGTATCCTTCATGTCTTAAGAAAAAACAATACGGTTAGGATATGTAACGTATCAGTCATATAGGTTATAATTTAAAGCCACCTGCAGAAATTTTCATCAGTTGGTCGCCAATGTATATAATATATTATGCTCTGTGCTTTTAAAAATATATTATAAACAAATATTGGACAAATAAAATGGAGGAGGGGGCACGGAAGTTTTTTTTTTAAATGTTTTCTCGCCCTAAATATTTAAATAGATATGAAAACCATCTTTTAATTTAATTTTTTTTTTTCACACATAAAATATTTCAAGTAAATAAATGTCATGATATTTTAGGACTTTAGTGATCACACACGTATAAGGACGGGTATCTTTCCAATAAGTTGATATCTTTTTCTAAATTATTTAGTTGATTCTCAATCCGGGCTTTTCGATTAATTTTTGGCACCGAGTCGGTGACCATGGGTAATAATAAAAATTCTGTATACAATTCACCCCAATTGGCCTTCAATCCCTGTCAAAAAAATTTTTGTTAGCAAAAAAGTTGAAAAGTTATAGAGAAAAGTTAAATTATTTGAACATACTCACTTTTAATAACTCTTTACGCTCTTCTTCGGGCAAAAAGCGCAACGGTGGTTTTATCGCCTGTACACGTTCAACCTCTGCTAGTTTTTCCATTTCATTTTTCTTATTTATTTTCTTAATGTACGAAGGAGTTTTGCCAAAACTCTTTAAACACAACATAATCATCATATTTTTATACATTTTATTTTAATAACACCAATACTATTTGAATATTACATCAAAATAACTTGTAAACATTTTATGCAGAAATAAATAAATATATTAAGTCATTTAAGTACCTTCTTGGATACGTACGTGGGCTCTAGGCCTGCCTCATCTAAAACCATTATGTGTCCATTCCGACTGTCCTGTACCCGGTGCTTTGGCAATGGCGGCACCTTTCTTACCACGTCAACAATGTTTTCTTGCAGGAAATTTCTCTTGATATTATTGATTTTTCCTCTAAACTTGAGTGAACGGTTACATTGTTGACTACATTTTTGATTGGGTAGCAACGGTTTTAAAGCACCTGAAGAACCAAGATAATAAGTTAATAAAAAAAAAAAAAAAGGAAGTAATAAGTATAATCAATTTCAACGAGTCATGAAATTTTATTATAACTAGAATTCATGAGGCTTTATGCGTTCCATAGTATAAATCGTATTAAATAACAAATGATATTGAAATATGATTTAAGATATCTGAATTCTAAAGTTTAAATACTTTTGCAACTAATTTTGTTTTACATATTTGTGGTCTTTGATATAATATTTTGTATATTTCAATATTTCAAAGAATTGATTTAAAGTATAATTTTTTTTTTTTTTTTAGCAAATCAATCTATATTCAAACTATATTTATGTATTAACGTAAAATTATAATTAGAAAAAATTAAAAAAATATTTCTTTTTGTATCTTTTTAATAAAATTTCATTTATTACCTAATAAATAAATAATGATGAAGTTGATTTTTATTTCAAAATTTTATTTTTATAGTCTTATCATATGATTTGATATAGAAAACATCAAATTTTTATTGACTTCACTACTTCAGTATAAAAAGTTATGAATTATATAATATCTATACTAAATGTATATTTATTTAAAAATTTTACTATAGAGATGTAATAATTATGTTATTTTTTTTTTTTATGAAGCACTGACTATTGCTTAAGGATCTTAGTACCTATGTGTTAAAACAAAAAATGTATTTATTTAAAAAAATTCTTTTACGGAAATAATCTTCAATAACTTATAGCTTTAAGTATTTTCTATCTAAAAAACTTGTTTAGTGCACATTTTTGCTAATTTTCGAGGTATAATTTTGAAGTTACACTGAATTATCATTATTTTTTAATGATTTTTTAATGTTACCGACAAATGGTCTTTTCACTATTCTGGTATGCTTTTTTAAAAACTTTGACGGATGATTAAACTTGACTTCAGCATAACCCATTGTTTGATGACAGTTTCTGTTTAACCTGTAATCCCTTTTAATCGCTTTGTTGAAAATTGAACGGTGCATCGGAGGTTTGATCACTGGTGTTTTTGGCCTTTGAATCAAATACTTAATATTTTCTTGATCCTTACTCATTTTTAACCTTCGTTAAATACTTATTTAAATATTTTATAGATTTAAAATGTTCAAGATTTAAGCTCTCATATGAATTGTTATAAAATAAACAATGGATAATATAGGAACGCATTAACTATTACTCATGGCAATGCTCTATTCAAAATAAATTAAAATACAACTTTACTTATGTAAAGCTTTCTTAATATGAGTAGAAGTTTAGACTTTCATAAATTATTTTTCTCTTATTCAAATTTAAAATATTTTTAATGGAAAAATGTATATTGTAACTCATGAAAATTATGATCTTAGTTTCGTTTACCATAACACTAATTTATAATTTTTTTATATCAGCCAGTTAATTTTTGTTAGATTTTTTCCTTGACTAATGATTGATTAGTTGAATAATCTAATCATTAGGTTAGTTGAGATCACTCCTTTTGCAATTCATATTTGTCGTCTTGATATAATTATTTGTGCGTAAGTTATTTAAGTGTTACGTTTAAAATCATCACACCATTAATTCCTCGTTTGATGTGTGTAACAATCGTTCGATCATTGCAGCATACTGACGCTACACCGGTAGATACATAGGTACGAGCTAGAAACCGTATCTGTGCGACGTGTGCTGTCAAATGGTAGTTACTGAAAGTGACCGATCGAAAAAACACTTTATACTATTTTATTGTAGAATAAAGCCATATCATGTGTGTATTGCATTCCAAGATAAATAAAGGACGTATATTTTCTACGTTATCACTTATATTATTATACATTTATTATTGTAATATGATATACAAAGATTCAACAAAAATAAATATAAGTTATTAAGTAAAATATTACTAGCGGTTATTAATTATTTATTAATTTGTACAACTGATCATAGGGTGCAGCGCCAGCAGGTTCCAGGTTCAAAGATTTGTGTTGATTTTGTGAATTATTTTCGTGGTCTAACTATATTAGTATATTTTATAGCGATAAACATAATCGTTTATTATATAAAAAAGTTTGATGATACAATCATTTTCACGTTTTAATTTGCAAATAATTGTAATTAAAATGTTGTCATGCTATAATTAATTGTTTTGTTGGTACAATAAAGTATGGTTTGTATCTATTTTTAAAAATGTTGCGAGTATAACAAATTAATTGTCAACTTGAGTAAAAAATGTGTACCTATGTTAATTTGTTTGGCTTCATTATATTTTGTATTATTTACTGTGGTTTTTCCGCTCAGCGTGCGTCACCCGCAAATACGATTCCGTGCACCGCGTTACATACTATTACGTATATATGGTCTACGTATAACTTTGCGCTTGTACGACATAGATACACCAATAATTCATTTATACATACGCAGTGCGTAATAGATAAGTACGCGAGAAAAACGTGCAGTTGGAACTTGTAACTCGTAAGTCGTGAAAGAGGAACGGTTTGGTTCACGGGACGCGTATCGCGTTTCTTTAAAATTATATATATGTAGAAAATACAATTTATATATAAATAAAAGATAAAGTAGTGTGCTCAAAATAATATATATATATATATGGAAACGTATATGTGTTTATATGTGTTTGTAAGCGTGTGTTCAGTTATCTTGAATTCGATCGCCTCACAGATCTCCCCCTCACCCATCGTACACCAGAGCAAACATATCGACGGATTGCTTTTCTCGATACGTGCAGTATGTATTCAATACATTCGATTCACGTGTAAATGTATTTATTTAATACCGCATAAGTATACACGCGAAAGGTGTACGTACTAATATATATATATATATATATATATACATATATATTTATAATACATTTACACGGACTGGGGTAGGATGACATAAAAAAAAAACAAAATATAAATCGGGTTTTCCACATTCACTTCACACTCGGGCGCGCGATCCTCTTCCACCGCTAACCACCCACAACGCCATAGTGGTCGGTCGGGAAATGCTACGTTATCTGTTCGAAACGCTCGAGTATTTCGCACCTGAATTCGTAATGCGCCATTTATTAAAATATTACATTATGATTTGAGTACAAGCAAATCAGCTGACATAATATTATTACCGCAGTGATCCGTTCTAATTGTTTACGCGTAGACAGGTTAGAATCAAGTACTATTAAAAATATATATTAGGCGAGAAGAGAAGGGGTAAGTTGGAAACTTACAATAAACTAAAAAAAAAAACTAAAAAAAACATAAAATACATTTAAAATATTAAAATGTTTTGCTTTTTATAAAAAAATTAAAAATGTTATTTTAGGTTAATAACCTACTTAAGTTGTTCAGAGATAATGTTAAAAACAATTATTCTGGGAATATTAAAAAAAAATTTGTTATACAATTTTGAAGCAACTTGAGTTTTTTTTAAAAATGTTTTCAATATTTAAACTAACGATTTGTATTTGTGTATAAATCGACCAACTCATTAAAAACCAAGTTCTAAAATGTTTAGAAAAGATTGGAAAATTAAAATAAAAATTGATTTTTATTTTATTTTCCAACGTGTAACACACATTGAAGTTAATTTGAACCATTTAGGTATGTGAGACAATTTTTATATAATATGTTTCAATATATTTGCTTGCATATTTAATTATTAATACAAATTTCCTACATATTTTACAGCAAACAGCATATACATACACGTTTTTGTTTATCAATAAAATATAAAATTATTAATCTTCATTGTTTGATATACTACGAAGAAGAAGAATAACAGACATTTTATTTTATTTTATTTGAAGTGTTTTGTATTATATCTATAAGACTATAACTGAACTCAATAATTATTGTGCTTGGATTTTTTTTTTAAATCGATGATCGTTTACCAATAAAAGTTGTCTAACCGTGGCACTGAATAAATACTAATTTCGAATCACAGATAGATAATAAACATTTCTCTACTTATGATAAACACTTGCAACTATGTAGGTATTATATTTTTGTATCACGAGTTAAATTTACTACTCTTGAAGGTATATTATTATGTATCAAACAGCATGTTTACTACGTATATGGTTTTATCACTTTTATCGATCAAATAACAAAGTTTTGATCCTTTGTTTAAGAATGTAGATCGGGTGGTTTTGAATTAAACTAAATATTGTGACTTCATAGTTTATAAGTTACTTTATTGATTTTTATAAAATAACATGCGTTACTCGCATATATTATTAACCACAATTAGTATATGCGTGTGAATGCTTTTTGTGGTATTTTATTTGTCATACGCATGTTGTAACGTTTTTAATTTATTTTTATAATTATATTTTGTAAAATAAATTGTTTGTACATGATTAATAATATTATATTTTGCTTAAAGAATTATTTTATCTACTAAAATCATATATATTATTTTATTTTTTTTAAATGAATGAATTATATTTTCTTTATAGATAACGTACAGCTCTTGTTTTCTTAATTTTTAATAACATTTTAACCTTTGTCCGCGTGTACGAATTCGTTGCATCAAATTCGAATCATACAAATGCACAATCTTTTTGATAATTAAAAAAAAAAAAAAAAGGGTTGGATTTGAGGAAATTTGGTTGAGATGAGGCTCTCCTGTGATTCATCTGTTATAAAACATGTACCTACGCCATTGGTACTTGTACAAATCACGATGACGCCGATGTTAATGACAACAATAACAACCACCACATTCTATCATAGTTTAATACTAATGGCCTGTAAAGAGAAAAAAATAACCACCACAAAAAACAATAAAAAATAACAGAAGTAATAATTATTGCAGTAGCATTTTAAGTACGTAACGTTATACCATTATATATCTACCTATAATATTTAGTGTGACTCGCCATTGCAGTTGTATTATAGGCGTGACGCACTACTCAAATAACGATCGGCTGCACCCGACGATGACGATTACGATTGTGATTTGTAACCGCCGCCAAAGCTCTAGTTAAGTTAAATTACATTGAAAAATACACACAAATACATCAGGCATTTATTATTATATACTACTCGCTTACACACTTCCGTGGCAGTTTGGCGTGCATTCGAATACGTCTGTCACCGTCAATGGTCAAAGATTGTTAAGGTTATTATTATTATTATCTGACACGAGAATCGTGCGTTCAAGGATATACCTACTTTCCTCAACTCGTCTCTTTCTCGCACGAGCACGCGCCATAAGCAACGTGTGCGTGCGAGGTGTACCAGTAACCCCGCCATCCCCACCACCAATACTTGTACGCACCCTTCCATATAGGAAACTTGTCAGTCACATACTAACATTTATATTTTGAACACTGTGACATCTCCCCCTCCCAAACCCAAGTCACACATACTTCACTTCGAGCTCGCATGTGTCCGCGTAGGTATAAACGTGCAAGCATTTTGTTCCTTTTTCTTTTGCTTTTATTCATACACTAAGCCGCACAACGTATTTTTGTTCCGTTTCCGTTAGTTTATATACTGATTTCCGCGTAGTAGCGTGTTTGGGTACGGAATGGTCTTAAAAATGTTATCATGTCCAACAGAAGCGCCGTTGCACAATATATTTGTGAGAAACCAACAAAACAGTCAAAAATTATAATATCTGATATGATGTATTTTATCTTTTTCAAAACATGTCCTATATCTTTGGCATAAATTGAGTGAGCGGTAGGGCCAAATAAAACAACATTTTAAATTACATTTTTGAATACCCATTCGTTTGGAAATCATAAAACTTATTGTTATGCTAAACGATAAATTTATAATTCATTTCATTACAATATTAATATTTTGCTTCTTTTTGTACTATTTATTAATTTATTTTTTATTTGTGTAAGATAAAATATTTATTTTGATTAAAATGCTTGAAAATTTCATAATAAGTTCCTTATATATTATTATGTTGTTTTTATTACAGTACAAATTATAAAAAAAAGAATACAAATACCTAGTCACTATTCTTAGGCCTTTAAAGTACAAATATGTATGAAAGCCATAAATACGAGTATAAAATACAATTATTTAATAATTTAAAACACATATTTTTAATTTTAATACCA